CTTTCGTCATAATTCGTTTCTTTTCTTTTATTAAAAAAATTGCAAAGCTTTTGTTTTGGGTTCTCCACGTAATTCACGAAAATTGAAAGATAGATTCATATTAAAGGTACGTGACGTTTCAGTGAGACCTCTAATCTCCTGACACGTGGCTTATTTAGTCCATACTTTACTGGTTTAAGCAAAAATAAAACTCGTTAGCATCTGACTCACAAATACTCGTTGCAACTCTTTTTATCTGACTGACTGATTGATAATAGCTTCTTTTTTTTTGTTCCTTTTTCGTGTAAACAATACTTCACTTTACCTTTTCTTCTATCACTTCATTGAGAAACGTGGAAATGAAAAAAATAAAAATAAAATGTGTAATGGAAAGTGTTGTTTAGGTCCGTAAGAGTATCAATATCTCTAACTCTTATGAAAGTGTCTTAACTCATTTTTTTATATTAATTTTATTAAGATTTTTGTCTTAAAATTCAATACATAAAACTTTTTTCATGAAAATTCATAAAAATTTATTATATTTTAATTAAAAAGTGTTAAGATACCATTAAAAATTTACCGTGACCGCTTGTTCTGCGCCGGATATGCTTTTGTGCCCCACTCTTTGTACTTTTAAGACCTCTTCTCTAGATCATCTTGTTTCATTGAATTAGGCCCATTATTAGCCCAATAATATTTGGAGAACATAGAGCCCAACTACGAAGGAAGTGTATCAAATACTTTTTGTTTTTTCACTCCAAAAATATCTGTGGATTATATTGGTTTTTTTGGATAAGCATCTTTAACCATAAACCCCTAAACTCATTTTTTAATATTAATTTCTTTAAGACATATTTTATTAAAGTGTCTAAAAACTCATTACATAGATCCTCTCCCATTAAAATTCATCAATATTTATTACATTTTAATCATTTTCACACTTTAAAACACTCTTAAAATGTCATGGTTAAAGATACTCTTAGACCATCTCCATCGATAGTTTCTCAATGAGTATCTCAAACAATAAATAAATATTAATAATAGTAAAATATTAAAGGAGTCTCTCAAAAATTAAGAAATTGACTCTAAAATTTTTTATTTGAGAGACTTAACACTAAAATTTCTTAATTTCTGAGAATTCTATCTAATATTTTAATAATATTTATTTTTTAATGTATTTTGAAATACTCTTTAAAATATTATGGATGGAGGTGGTTTAACAAAAAATCAGAGGATCATTAGCAAAGTAACAGAAAAAACAGGGATTCCTTTATAAAACAGTAGGTGGGCTATCAAAGGTTTTTGTCATTTTGCTAATTATCTTTTGATTCTTTGCTACCGACCCAATTTCCCGTTTGTGGAGGATTATATTGGTTATTCTATCAAATTCAATCTGACTTTATAAAACAAATGCATAATATATATTATCTGTCTCGATCATAAAATAGGGACTGGAGCAACTTGTTACAGACAAAGATATATAGAAAAGATACCCATACCTTTTATTTATATATAAAGTCTACAAAATATCATTCATTTTTTGTATTATACATTCATGTGTATTAAACATGCATATTTCACATAGATATATACTACTAAAACATATAAAAGGTACGTTTAATTAGGATGATGTGATAATAGGAGTGTGTTGGGGAAAATCGCGAAAGATAGTATTTGGAGGCATATCGGCTATTTCTTCACTCTTCTTCTTCGTCCCACAAAAACTTTGCATAAGAAGCTTGCACATAACTGCACCATATAGTTTTGCATTATTGTTATATAATATATATGAAGTCTCTTTAACTATGAAATGTTTTACACTCCCTATCAGTGAGGGATCTAGAACTATTTTTCATGGAGAGCATAGTATATAAACGCAAAAATATGAAAGGGGCATAAATTTTTCCCGATCAAAAATACACCATAAAAAAAAAATTCGGGGCAACTGCCCTACCCTTTAATAATATGCCTCCGCCCTTGCTCCCTAGGTACTCCCTCCGTTTCAAAATGTAAATTGTTTTACCTATTTTTTTTATTTCAAAATGTAAGATGTTTTGAAAATACTAGTTATTTTTTAACTTTATTAAATATTGTGTGACCATTAATATTTTGTAGTCTTTTATGTGACTGGTCAAATTATTTTTATTATATATATTAAATAATACTTTTTAGTAGAAAAATAGTTTCTTTAACATACGTGTTTTTAAGCAAAACGACTTACATTTGAAAGAGAGAGTATTATATTAGTTGTCATTTTAGGTTTAATTTGTTGGTTACATATAAAGTTTTGTATTTTCAATGCATATTTATGACAAATTTTTCTATTTTTATCTATATTTT